AGGGAGGGGTGCAAAGTTCCTCCCAATTCACCTTCGCTGCAGACAACTTGCATGTGCAAAGTTTGCCGCCCGGGTGTTTTGGCGTGCTCAGCAGCAATTCCTATTGGCTTTCGAAAGCCAATAGGGGGAGTAGCACAGCTCATGCAAAAGTTGAAAAAAACCCATCAAAAAAGGTGCCGGAACGCCGTCCTGAGCATTCTATGAGAAAAAAAAAGCCCTGCAGATTAGTCTTCAAATATCGAAAAGGAGGTCATGTAGGAGGGAGGACAGAACTTACAAAAGGAGGACTGTCCTCCGGTTGGTCACCTTACTTTAACAGAGGGATAGAATCAAGATCACATGAAGTGTTAGTACTGCTTTATAAGGCCTTAGTAAGACCATACTTGGTATACTGTATCATGTTTTGGCCGCCACAACATAAAAAAGATGTTGAGACTTTGGACAGAGTGCAGAGAAAAACAACAAAGATGATTAGGAGGCTAAGGCTCAAAATATATGAAGAATTGTTGCAGGAATCAAGTATGTCTAGTCTAGTGAAAAGAAGAACTACAGGTGATGTGATAGCAAATATGTTCCAATATTTGAGTAGCTGCACAAAAAAAGAGGGGGCCAACCTATTTTCCAAAGCACAAGAGGGCAGGATAAAAAGCAATGGATGGAAACTAATCAAGGAGAGAAGTAACCTAGAACTTTTCTGGCAGTGAGAACAATTAATCAGTGGAACAGGTTGCTTTCAGAAGTTGTGGGTGCTTCATCACTGAAGTTTTTAAAGAAGAGATTGGACAGCCATTTTTCTGAAATGGTATAGGTCTCCTGCTTGTGCAGGTGATTGGACTAGAAGACCTCCAAGATCCAACTCTGTTATTCTGAACTTTTTTTCAGTATCATTGTAATTTTGAAAGAGCGCTACATGAATGATTGTAAGTCAAGGACTATCTGCAATGTATGTGGGAACAGGGTAAAAAAATATGGTGATGGATCACAAATGATCACAAACAGTCTGCAGGTAATACCTTATCAGGTAAAATTATGGATTCAATGCAGTTCGTGCGCCATGCCAGAACAGTAGCTCTATCTGAAATAATCTGACAGGATAGCATTCTGCTCCCAGGTCAGCAGAGTATGCATAATTTCTCATACTGTGGTAAACAGTCTAAACTCTTGGTGAAGGACCTTTGTGTTGAGGTAGGGTTTACTTTACAAATGGTGACTTAACATTACATAATGTAAAATGGATATTACAGATTTTAAGCTCATGTTTATTCCTAGAATTGTAGAGTTAAAGAGAATGTGGAGATCATTTACTCCAGAAGTTTCAGGTAGAATTTGCAGTACATGATTTGCTTTTACAACCAAAATAGGTAATTGCCTAGTTTTGATATCAATAGCTTCAATGAAGAAGGGTCCATTATTTCCCAGGTATAGCCCTTCTACAGTTTATTAGGAACCTTTCCCAAGACTTAACTGAAATTCTTGTATTTTTTACCACTTCATTTGGGTCTTTCTGGATAGAGTAACATAGAGCAGTTGTAATTAATTTCTGTGTGAAAATTCTTCATATATTTTAAGAAAGTGATTACATCTTCCTTTAATTTTCTTTTATCTAGACCAGGGGTAGTCAACCTTGGCTCTTTTATGACTCGTGGACTTCAACTGCCAGAATTCCTGAGCCAGCCATGCTGGCTCAGGAATTCTGGGAGTTGAAGTCCACGAGTCATAAAAGAGCCAAGGTTGACTACCCCTGATCTAGGCAATTTCTTTAACATTTCTAACCAGGATTGAAATTGTATGTGCTATTATGTTTTGGATTCCAGTCACATAATTCAAGTGACCTCTAAGAACTAACATATATTTTTGTATGAACAGTATATGTATTATTTGTCTTATTTTATTCCTTAGATATATTATTTAAATTAATATATCTTATTTTTCTCCTCCATAGGGATTTCATTGCAAACATCAATTTTCTAGTAAGTATTATATTTTCATTCCTATTATATTACATTCATTCTTAAGATCAGGAAAACAAAACTTTTGAATGACCAATCAGACTGAAAGCTTATTATTTTTTTTAAAAAAAATGCCTTCCTATTTGAAGACCTTCCCATTCATCCTCAAATGTCTTGGGTCATGTCAGAATGTAAGCTTTTTTGTGGATGACCTAAAATAGTACATTTATGTTTAACAAGAATTATTTAAAAAACAAGGTTTGATTCTCAGAATACAAAATGTATTATCACTCATCCATGAAAACTAAACAAAAAAGCTTGTACACAAATATTTTGATTTTACCACCCATTGTCCCTGAAAGAAAATATCAGCACTACACAAGTACTGCAAATGAACAATCCTGGGCATACTCATTTGTCATATATCAATGGTGGATTTTTCCACACCAAATTTTCTGGATGTAAATTGTTGTATAAATAGCTACCAAAATCTTTAAACAGAGTTTTTGAATGGGTGAAAGTTGCACATTAGCAGTGTAGAATAGTTACTGAAGTGTACATTGCATCAGTAGTTCAGTTATCAGATGTTATTGTATGTTCCAAATCCATTTGTCTGTAACTCTTGTTATAGGCTAAATATTCAATTTGGTTGCATTCTACAATGATTTGTCCCACCCTTCTCCTGAAGAGTGTGATGTGATAAGCTTTTGATTATATGTGTTTGTGTGTATGTGTGTGTCTTCAATAGCTATCATCACTTAAAATCACTTTAACATTTTTTATTTTTTATTTTTTGTTCATTTTATCCTACCTTTATTATTTTTATAAATAACTCAATATGACAAATATATGTAATACTCCCTCCTCCTATTTTCCCCACAACAACAACCCTATGAGGTAGGTTGGGCTAACTGGTTCAAAATTACCCAGCTGAGTTTCATGCCCAAGGCAGGAGTGGAACTCAGGGTCTCCCAGTTTCTAGCCTGGTGCCTTAACCACTAGACCAAAGTAGTCTGTTTACTGGTCTACCCACAGTAGATTTGGTATTCTGTACTCAAGAAGGTGGATATAATTTTCTTTTTCTTCATCTGTTGTGGCCATGGTGTACTAGGTATATAATTCAAGCACAGTATATTTATGTATTTGTGTATTTATTTATTTAACTTATATGCCACCCATCTCTGCTGGAGGTGACTCTAGATGGCTTACAATCAATAAAAGTCCCTAAAAATATTAAAACATCAGAACAATAAAGATATGGGGAATCAAGTGAATAAAGAGGCCAACATAAAAAGATTGTAGAAATGATCAAATCTTGTGAAAGATTGTTCACAACCTGGTCTCTCTGTGTTTTTATTAGAGTAAGTTGTTGTATTTCAGCTTTTATTGTACCCTTCACTCTTATTTTCAGAAGTTTATTATCTCTCTGCTCATGGCCCCTTGAAAATGCACTCTTACAGTCCTTGAGTCAGCAGAAAAGTACTCTGGCACAGGCTTCTCTCCCTCAGTTGCTAAGTCATTTTCTGTCTCCGTGATGAGGCCACCCAGTGGTGCCGTCTACACATATTTGATATTGAAAGGGATTGATGGATTCCCTGGTTTCATTTCCTCCTCAATGGGCATTGCTTGCTGATGTCCACCCATCACTCTTTCTACTATGAGGTGGGACTGGGGCTGGGATTAGGAGGACAGAAAGATTTTATCAGAAGGCTAGTACTGAGCTATGAAATGAAAAGGGGTCCCAACCTACTACTTGACAAGATAGAAAAATGTGGGATAGACAGCATCACCACCAGATGGATCCGTAGCTGGCTGACTGGCCGTACTCAGCGTGTGGTCCTCAATGGAACCGCATCTACATGGAGGGAAGTATGTAGTGGGGTGCCCCAGGCTCTGTTCTGGGCCCAGTTCTGGGCACTATCTAACAAAATGAAATTCAATGGTGAAAAAAGCAAGGTTCTACATTTAGGCAAGAAAAACCAAATGCACAGGTATAGTATAGGGGGTACCTTGCTCAATAGCAGTAACTGTGAGAGGGACCTCGGAGTCCTAGTGGACAATCATTTAAATATGAGCCAGCAGTGTGCTGCAGCTGCCAAAAAGGCCGACACAGTGCTAGGCTGCATTAACAGAGGGATAGAATCAAGATCACGTGAAGTGTTAATACCACTTTACAATGCCTTGGTAAGGCCACACTTGGAATACTGCATCCAGTTTTGGTCACCACGATGTAAAAAAGATGTTGAGACTCTAGAAAGAGTACAGAGAAAAGCAACAAAGATGATTAGGGGACTGGAGGCTAAAACATGTAAGGCACGGTTGCTGGAATTGGGTATGTCTAGTTTAACCAAGAGAAGGACGAGGGGGGACATGATAGCAGTGTTCCAATATCTTAGGGGCTGCCACAAAGAAGAGGGAGTCAGGCTATTCTCCAAGGCACCTGAAGCAAGAAGCAACGGTGGAAACTAACCAAAGAGAGAAGCAACCTAGAACTAAGGAGAAACTTCCTGACAGTGAGAACAATTAACCAGTGGAACAACCTGCCTCCAGAAGCAGTGAATGCGCCAACACTGGAAGTTTTTAAGAAGAGACTGGACAGCCATTTGTCCAAAATGGTATAGGGTTTCCTGCCTGAGCAGGGGGTTGGACTAGATGACCTCCGAGGTCCCTTCCAACTTTATCATTATTATTATTATTATTATTATTATTATTATTATTATTATTATTATTACTTTATGGCTAATAATGTCTATTATTCTAGTCATGATAGCTAAAGGGACCCCCCCCCCGGCAGATGCTGGAAACGAACAGATTGTATCTTTCTTCCAAATCTAATGTTAATGCAGCAACACTCAACAATATTGGAAATTAATTCTTTGCAGAATGGAAGGAAATTTGAAAGTTGTAATTCCATTTCAACTTACAATATTTCTATTTAACTTCACTAAAGCACACATTTCTTCAAATTGTACTGACATAGCATTATTTAAGATAATAGCTGCAATAATTTTATCTGCTTTTATTGGAAAAGACCCTTCTTTTCCTCTATGGAAGAATGGTTAATTAAACTGTGGGAATATGCTTTGATGTCTAGAATAATCTTCTGTACAGTTCAATCATATTTGGAAATTATTTTTGGACTATAATTCTATACATAGAATGGTAGCACAACCCTAATTTGTTGTTCTAGTTATTCATTTTTGGGGGGATGGGAAGGAGGGGAAGCATTTAACCAATGGGTCTTTTATTTCCAAGTCAATTTTATAACTTAAGAGTACATTCATTAAACAATTAAGAGTCAGATTGGTGTAATGATTAAAGGCACCAGGCTAGAAACCAAGAGGCCATGTGTTCTATTCCTCCCATAGGAATGAAGCCATCCTGATAACTCTAGGCTAGTCTCTCTCTCTCTCTCTCTCTTTCTCTCTCTCTCTTAGAAGGTAATGATAAACTGCTTCTGAAAATGTAACCAATAAAACTTGTCCAGGCAACTGCCAGGAGTCAAGAATGATTTGAACTAATATAAACACATGTATTGCATGGGAGTAGATCTTCTCCCTGGCAACCATTTTGCCTGTGGGTGATGCGTGCACTCGTCATTTTTCTCAGTACTGTCATATTTGGTCAAAACCTAAATTGGCCCAAGACATTATGGCCAATAAACTTATAGTTCCTTCCTCTGAGGGAAGACTCTTGATTGATCCAAAATCCTCCTTTGTGTTAAAATACCATATGTACAACTAGCCCCTTGAGTTGGAATTGGCTGTACAGGGGAAATCTTTACCATGTTTTTTTAGAAGATGTGACTGAAGTATATGTCTATAGTGCATTGTTTGACTAGTGAATGTCTCTCCTAGCCTATCTATTAGTGTATGAGGGATGATCATATGGACATCTGCTGAGTTTTTCTTCAGTGATTTAAGTTATTGTTTAGCTATTTCAAGTTTGTTTTTGCACAGAGCCACATATATTTGTTACTTTTACAGCGGAGGTTGTGAGCAGTTTCTGCCGTCCTGCACCTGCTTCCCTTTCTCCAGTCAATTTTAAAAACATGAAGCTTGGGACCACAATGAAGTGTGAAGATCACAGGCATTGCTCTCTCCACTTAAGTGTCAAGGCAAACCTGCAACTTAATGGTAAATCAGAAGATTTTATAGGGAATGTGGATAATAAGTGAGAGCTCTTGTTCAGTAGAAGAGCATGTGCAAAAAATCCCAGCTTTATTTCCAGTTGTCTAGAGAGATTTAGGAAGAACTAATGTGCAAATTCCTGAAGAATTATTCCATATGAGAGAAGGGGAAACCCAGGGCATTCTTTGGGTCCTGAGATAATCCTGTCAGATAGGGCTTCCTTCACAATATTGGTAAAAAGGGTAAAGAGTGCATATTTGTTTTGGTACACACAAGTTTGTACACACATTTGCTTGTACACACAAGCTGGTCTTGGTGTAAAATATTCTCTTGGTCTCTCTCTCTCTCTCTCTCTCTCTAGTGCCAATAGGTTGCATCATAATTAATACTACCAAATTTGAACTGCAAGAATATGGATGATCACTAGAGAGCAGCAAAGGGATGGGGATTGTTATAACATTTGCTGCCATCTTGTGGTCACATCAGTATATACTGAGGCAATTTAAAACAATATAAAGTTCAACAGTGTGGGTTTCAGTTTAGTACAATGGGAGAATATTCCTTGGGTTCTTAAGATGCCTCCAAGTGCCATTAAGAAACTACAATTTAAAATTGAATGAATGCAACTGGAAAGAAATCAAGAAAGCTACTGCATCAAAGAAAACAATAGGAGTTGTTTTTGTGCAGCAAACAAAATAGTGTAAATCAATATTCCCAGTTGCATGGTTCCATATAGGAATCTATGAAAAATTTTTTCTCTAACAGAAATTTTAGTGGAGATGAAGGAGATATGAAAGTAGGACAGTCATCTGTCTAATCAGCATTGACCTTAATGGATTTGATCAAGCTGGATTGGCATTTACAGGGGTTGGCTACTAATACACTTTAGCTCCATGAAAGTAGAATTAAAAAGCGGACCTATTTCTGTTTTCTCCTACATTTTATTTGGTAGAACTTTGATTGAGGAGCATTTCAACTTTCAAAAGTGAGGTGTTCATCTTTGATTAGCCTACAGGTTCTAAAATTTATGCTATTTGATTCAGAGGGCTTTTTATTTCTATGGTTCATTTATAAAGGTTTTTTTTCCCTTTTTCACAATATTCTATTGGAAGTGAGTAATAATTCCTTCCCCTCAAAGTTCATTTCTTTGAATTCTGAATTTGCATTCATTTCTACACTATTTTCAGAAAATAGTTATGGTGTTCGAATTTGTTATTTCCTGATGGTTACTCAAAAATCCAGGTGTGTGAATGTGAAGATTTCCAGGGGGGAAAATGCCCATCCTGAGGGAAATAAGGTAAAAGATTTCAGTTGTTTCTGTTATTTTATTAGAGCTAAATTTAAATAGTCTAGGAAGAAGGTGATATGGTGTGCCTCAATATAAGGTCTGGAAGTGATTTTTTTCTTTTAAGCTGATAGGGCAAAATTGTATGTTCAGAGGTAAAGACGGTGTTCCCATTTTCTCATTTTATAAAGCTATGAAGTTATTTACAGAACAGAATGGGATAGAGTCAGCCTTCTGGTAGGTAGTTCAAACAAAAAATACCAGCCATGAGTATTCAAACTATCTTTAGTTGAAGGTTACACTAACAAAATCTTGCAAGTTTATAAGTTTCTGTCTTTTACTTTTACTCTCCCAAATACTAACGAGAGTTCCTTCTGATATGCTTTGTCTACCCTGACACTTCCTCAGATTTCTCTTATTTGACTGTTGGCTAAGCTGTGACTCTTCCTTCTGTCTTCCAAGGTCATTCCCACAGACCATTACAAATAGGAAGGTTTGTGGATCTTCCCTTGCAGACCATCTCCTTATATTTTTTTCGTCAGCTATCACTGAGATTGCAGAAAAATCAAGATGTACTGTATTTATTTATTTAATAAATTGATATGGCAGCTCATTTCACTGAATGTGATTTAGGGCAGCATACCAACACTTAAAACAATGCTATAGCTATTTTTAAAAGCTTAAATGATAAATAAAAGCAGGATTGGTGGAGAACATGCACCCAAGCACAATATAATAATTATGCAGTTTTCCATGGGATCCCCAAGGCAGCTGGAAAAGTTACATTTTCAGGGTTTTCTGAAAGATTAACAGAGATGGGCTAACATCACCTTCAGGCAGGGGGATGATGTTCTAGAAGGCAGGAGCATGCTGTTTGGGTCCATCGGATGAAAGCAGATGGGACCAGCAACCCAACCCTGATGGATCTGATGGGATGGGTAGACGTGATCGGGAAAAGGTGGTCCCTTAAATAGCCTGGCCCCATGCCATGTAGGACTTTAAATGTGAAATCCAGCACCTTGAATTGCATTCAAAAGCAAGGAGGCAGCCAGTTCAGCTCACAGGATACATATACAGCTATCCATGCAGCTGTATTCCACACCAGTTGAAACTGTCAGATACTCTTGAAGGGAAGCCCCATGCAAAGGGCATTATAGTAATCTACTCTGGAAGCAACCAGAGCATGGGTGACTGGGAGTAGAGCCTTGCAATTCAGTAAAGGGTGCAACTGATACACAATATGAAGCTGTGCAAAACCCCTCCTAATCACCACCACCACTTGCTCTTCAAGCAAGAGTTGTGATATGAATCTAGAAAAAATCCAGACCATATATTGGATAGTGCTACCTCATCTAATACCAAAGATGGGAAAATATCAGATCCAGAAGGCCCAAAAACCCAGTCTTGCCAGGGTTCACTTGAAGTTTATCATTCTCCATTCAGATCTCCCACAGCCTCCAGGCACTGGGATAAGATATCAACACCATTGTTTAATTCACCAGGGGCAAAGATAAAAGCTTTTATTAGCTTTGCAGGAAAGGAGATAGTTAACCACTTGCTGGTTCAGCCCTGCAAACATCCCATGCCACCAATGCTACAGACTGGAAAGGATGAATGGATAGTGCTGAGGGTAACTGGATAATGATGGCTATGAAGATTGGCCCTCATGGGGCCCATGAGAAGAGTCAAGAGGGAAAAATGTCAACTGTACTGTGACAGCATTATGCCAGTGACTCATATCATTGTATAATGGGATCATGACATGTGTGTAACATTATTTTGCGATCATCATAGCTTCCAATCTCCAATGTTGGCTCTGGAAGTTATTTTTAGATTAGAAGATATCTATCCATCCTACTCAGTTCTGACATTTTAGTTTATTATTCACTGTATTATATCAGCCAAATGGTTGCCTGGCCAAAGTGAGAATGAAGATATTTAAACTATTTAAAACAGGATGCCCAACATTAGTACAAAAGGAACAAGAATTGGTTCAAATTGGTTTCCACATTCACTGACTGATTACTGTCTGGCTCAGAGAGGATTGTCTGCATGTGCTAAGAAAATTAGTATGATGACTATGTGTGGGCTAAGAATATTGCATGCCACTGCTCTCATATGGATTTATTTAAAAGAACATCCCTAAAGACATAAATCAAACCATTATTCCCCAGAAACTTAATTACATCCAACACTGCTCACTTCATATTTTAACAGAAAATATTGTGTACCTCTTTCTTGTTTCAAAAGGACAGCTAATTTAATCTGTCAGTTTCTGAAATCTATATTTTTACAGACTTTTTTTGGAAAAGGCAATAAATATATATATATTTTATGGCTAGGACATATTACTGCAGAAAGGGATTTTCCAGAAAAGCTTATACCTCATGAAAATACTTTCATATTGATTCATGGGTAAAGGTTTGAATATTTCCGCAAACAAGTTAGATACTATTGGTATATACATCTATATCCATATGCTCATCTTGGCCTAGTTGAATTGCTTGGATATGGCATTTGATTCATGAGGGAATAAGAAATGCAAACCCAGATCTAAGGCCAACAGTGTTTACTTATGGCTAGCTTCCTGCAAAGAAAGCTAAATCAGAGCCAATGTTGCAAAGCAATATAATCTTTTAAATGTTTTACTTTGAATTAAATCCTCTTCTATTCTTTATGGCTTGTTTGTGGGTTCATAGATGGGAGTTCCATTTTAAGTTATAGAAGTTATAAAGATATGTCTTTTTATGTTTGTTTTTGTTTTTTGTCTTTTTTGGATTTTTGGGAGTTTTGTATCTTAACTTTCTTTTGAATAAAATAAAAGGGAATGAAAAAAGGATATGCTTTCATATATCAATATTTCTATATTAGAAGCAGTACTATTTTATCATAATCCAAATCTGTGAGTTTAATATAAAACACAACCAGGGTTTAAGATCATGAGCCCAATCATGTTTGCTTTAATGAAGGGGTTAGAATTGGTTCCTGGATCTTCAGTGGATGGGCAAGTTCTAACAGGAGGGCAGAACTCCTACAATCTCAAGTAGATTGCTGGATAGTCCTGACTGTGAAAACTCTGATTTATGGGTTAAATTTGGAATGTTATCAATGTATTTCTTGAAACAGGATAGTCTTTGGAAACTGAGAACATAATTAAGTGAAATCTAGGAAATTAATAAATACAGAATAACAGAGTCAAAAAGGTCCTTGGAAATATTTTAGTCTAAACCCCTGCTCAGGCAGGAAACCCTATACATTTCAGACAAATGGTTGTCCAATCTCTTCTTTAAAACCTCCAGTGACAGAGCATCCACAACTTTTGGAGGCTAACCGTTCCACTGGTTAATTGTTCTCACTGTCAGGACATTTTAGTTCTATCTGCCAGAATTATTCAGGGTGAGAAAATAAAATAAAAATGAAACATAACATTAATACATTTGAAAAATAATTTTAGTGGAATGCATGTTTCCTTGTGCTCCCATTTTGTGAAGTAGTGTCTAAACTGAAGATTCTTTTGATGCAAACAGGTGAAAATACAATTTAATTGCTTTGAAGTCAGTGTGGGACAACATCTTTACGTAACCATGACAACAATTCCAAATTATTGTGGAGTTAAACAAGAATATTATGTTGAAGGTAGGAAACATTAAAAAATGTTGATATTTTGCATGTACATGCATGCAGGTGTATGCACTTGCATGTTTATGCTAATGCTAATACTAAAATGAAGATGATGCTGACACAAATATCAGTACAGGTGTCCCTGATTTACAACCATTTGTTTAGCAACTGTTTGAAGTTACAACAACACTGAAAGAAGTAATTGATAGTTGGTACTCACACTTACAAATGTTGCAGCATCTCCACAATCAAATGGAGCTGTGCATGCATTTGCCTGCCACATGTGTGGAACCATCTCCTCTCCCACCCCCCACCCCCACCCCCGCTAGTCCACAAAACTGAAAAGGTTGGGGAACTTTGCTTTAGACCATGTCTTAAGATCAGGATATTGAATTAAATGGCTGTTACTTAAGTGTAACAAGAGTACTTTGTGATCTAAAAGTTGGTGTTGTATCAGAAATCCCCTAGGCACATGAAGAACAACTTATAGTTTACCAGCAAAAATCCAGTTACCTCCATATTCAATTTAGGGTTTCATGTCAGTACAATAAGAAGAAAAAAAAATCAAACTTTAGTCAAGCAGATATCTACTTTTAAATTTTAGGATGTCCATTTTATTTTTATATTACTAGTAACAGAGCAAATTATCTTGTGCTTAAGTAATATTAACTACTACTTGTTATCTTAAAACTGTGGTATAGGAGCTCAAACATTTATTCCTGTGACTATATAACATTCCTTTGATGAAAATAAAAATAAATTGATATCATTTTCACTATAGGTTTTCAGCTTATTTGGATATATAACATTGCTTTTTGAAATAGCTGTTAAAGGAAGGCTGTGAAAAGCTGTGGTGGGACGTTTTGCTTCTGTGAAGGTTTATGCAAGGTTCCAGAAGCTATTTCACAATGCAACATGTCCTCAATACCCCTGCAACCAGCTTTTAATGTCAAACTAGCCACTTTCCTTTGCTTCACCTGGGCTTTGAGGCCTCCTCTAGCAGTTCTAATTGCTGAAAGAGACTTGCTAACACACTGCTTCTGGAACTGCTGGATGTGGCAACTTGCACATCTGTATTTTCTCATTCTGCAGTCTAGTTTTTTCACTGAAGTGAAGTCAAGCCAATAATGGGGGAAAGAGACTTTTTTTCACTAAGAAATTTAGATGCAGTTTGCCTTGTTGGAATCTGTTCCTATAGTTAGGAAGCACAAATCTGACTGGTTGTGGAGAAGATATACTTGATTTTGTCCTCCACCTATCATTGTCCTTTGAGAACTTCTAGAGTACAGGAGAAATGCCTGGAGATTGAAGAGCTAACAATCTTTGAAAAAGGGAGAAAAGTGGACCCAGAAAACTATAGACCAATCAACTTGACATCAACACTTAGGAAAATCCTAGAACAGTGATTCTCAACCTTGCCAACTTTAAGATGTGTGGACTTCAACTCTCAGAATTCATAGCTGGATGAAGAATTCTGGGAGTTGAAATCCATGCATCTTAAAATTACCAAGATTGAGAAACACTGTCCTAGAAAAGAATCATGTTATGGCCCTGCTGGACATATTTCTGATGAGGAGGATAGAGAGGAAGTAGAATCAGGTTCATCTATGGAGAATAGACTTAGATGATGCCAATAGTGATGAGACCAATGAGTCCATTCTGGTTGAAGCAGACCTATTAAGCCCCCAGGCCTCCTTAACTGCACCAACTGACAGTTCAACCCAAAGTCATATAGGCAGAGGTACATGATAACGATTCTACAACAGAGAGCAGCACTCTGTAGATCTGAAAGTTCTGCCAAGAAGCCAACATAAGAGTCAATCCCTGAGGAGTAAATTGCCCTAGCTGTGTATTGAAGAAACTCAGCACGGCTGGTTTATTAGCTTCATTCCTGAAAACAGAATAACTTAGTGATGGCGAACCTTTTAGACACTGAGTGACCAAAAACTATCCCACCCCACCACCCACCCCCACTCTACCCCACCCACCCTTCCTTTCATTATTCCTTTCTTCCTTTCCTCTCTCCCTCCAGGAAATCTCACATCATTAGGTTCACAAAGCACAGTTCTCCAAAATCAAAGCAATGACATGTCTTAGCATAATGTGTCAATCTAGTCTCTCTCTCTCTCTCTCTCTCTCTCTCTCTCTCTCTCTCTCTCTCTCTCTCTCTCTCTCTCTCTCTCTCTCTCTCTCTCTCTCTCTCTCTCTCTCTCTGTTGTGTTCTTTGTATTCCCCCCCCCTTAATCCCCTATGCATATCCTGATCACCCATTAAGGGTGATTGCCCTTCACCATTGATCGCCCATTAAGGGTGATTGCCCTTCACCATTGATCGCCCATTAAGGGTGATTGCCCTTCTCCATCTGCATACAGTTTCATGCCCGTTGCTGGTTGGCTAACTAGCAACAGNTCTCTCTCTCTCTCTCTCTCTCTCTCTCTCTCTCTCTCTCTCTCTCTCTCTCTCTCTCTCTCTCTCTCTCTCTCTCTCACACACACACACACACACACACACACACACAGACTTAGAAGCAGATTGTCACTCCAATTAAATCCCTTATATATATCATAACTGAATCAATTTAATATTTGTAATCTGTATACTATTAAGGAATTTCTACTAACCATCCCTCATGAAAATAAAACAGCAGATGTCTTAAGAAATAAACAAGTTGAAAATCTGGTTTTTTTTATTTTGCAGACTGCAGAAACAACGATGTGGGGAAAAATATTCCAGATTGTTTTGGTAAGTTGAGGTCTCCGAGGTCTAAAACAGTAGCATACAGTATTTAGTAGTCTATTAAATATTTCAACAAGGACACATGGGTATTATCTATCAAATTCAGCTTGACTCTTGAAAACCAGTTCTTCAATTCTTCTTTTTCTTCTGAAGCTGGCCATCTGGAGTTGAATCAAGGGGTCCAGAAATAGGACACAATGAGGACTGAAATGCAGGAGTAGCACAACTTACTAAGAAAATCAGGGTTCCAAAGAGAAAAACTGTGCATCAAGGTTGGGTCCGATTTCTCTAAAAATAATGAAAAAGAGAGATTTTTCTAGCACAAGCCCTCTCATCTCATTTCTCCAGCAGAAATTCTCCCTGAGTTGACGAATTCCAGGGGTAATTTGTTTTCCAGAGGTTCTACTTTCCAGATAGTCCTGCCATCATTGAATGAGAGTCTTGTTTCCACAACTAGCTATTCTAGCATCCGCATTCCCCATTTTTAAGATTCAAAGGAAAGAATTATAGACCAATTGTTGCCTATTTTAGATAACATCTGGCTAAAAGGTGTTGTTCAAATTCCATTAATCAATGGTTTACTACAGTATGTGCTAACTTAGAAGTGAATTACTAAATTAGAACCTGTGATAACTAAATGCAAAAAGTGGAAAGGGCAGAGAAGAGCAACAAAAATGATGAGGGGGTTGGAATTGGATATGTCTAGTCTAATGAAAAGAATGACTAGGGGTGACGTGATAGCACTGTTCTAATATTTGAGGAGCTCCTACAAAGATGGGGGAATCAAACTATTTTCCAAAGCACCAAAAGGCAAGATAATAAATAATGATTAGAAACTAACCAAGGAGAGAAGCAACCTAAAACTAAAGAGAGATTTCCTAATGGTGAAAGCAATCAACCAATGGAATAGCTTGCCTTTAGAAATTGTGGGTGCTCCATCACTGGAGGCTTTCAAAAAGAGACTGGATAACCATTTGTCTGAAATAATATAGGGTTTCCTGCTCAAGCAGGGGTTTGGACTGGAAGATCTCTGATGTCCCTTCCAGCTCTATTATTCTATGTTCTAAATAAGAGCTGAAGGTAACGATTATAATGCTTATATATGTGTTACAAATGCACAGAATCTGTTGGTATCTGTTTATAGTTTCCTTCTAACCAGTAACTGGAGAACAATGGAACAATCTGGCAAGCTTGAACATGGAAGTCCTAGACAGGCTAGTGGGTTTTTTGAGTTGAACTTTGTTGTACTTTTCACCCTACATTTAGCTGATTTCCAAATCTGATGTGTGTTTTCTTTTATCAGATGGGGAAACAGAGCAATGGCTGAATACCTGGTAGTTCAAAAAGACAGTTCCACTTGAGACTAGATAGTTTTGCAGCTTCCTTATAAAAAATAAATGTGATTAAAAGCCTGTGTGTAATAATTGGAGAACCAGTTTGATGTAGTGGTTAAAGGCGTCAGGCTAGAAAGCCCAGTAACTGAGAGTTCTAGTCCCACCTTAGGTGGTTGAACTTGAGCTAGTGTCTCTCAGCTCTAAGAAGAAAAAGGCAATGGTGAACCACTTCTGCCAAGAAAAACTGCAGAGACTTGTTCTGGCAATTGCCAGGAGTAACACTGACTTGAAGGCATGTGCACACTCACACTCAAAATATACTCTCTTTCACATACACAAAATAAATATTACAAAATGCGTATGATTTTTAGTACTTTACTTAATTTGACCACTAAGGGACTTACTTCCAACTGGACATACTACGATTGCTGTTAAAGCCATTTTTTATCTACAGTCTCAGAGACATTTCATTTTAGGATTCTTTAAGAATTGACAGTTGGTATTACAATTTTATTTATATTTACTCCAGATAAATTTATATAAGATTGTACACTAACATTTAATAATTATTGAAATCAAATTTCCTACACAAATAACACTAACATTCCAAATAAAATTTAAAGTCTTCAATTATCTTGTCCTGTATTGACACACTATAATTTTTGGCTATAGAAAATACAAATATAAAACAGTACAATTACAGTTTTTTCTTTGTTGTAAATTTCAGTGAGCAAAATGGCTTATAATGTGGACAGAACAAGAAAAACCATTTCAGTGAATATTTCAGATGTCCAAAACATAGACTGTTATGTCCGTTTATGTCATCAAAGATTTGTATGTGAAGATGTGGGGCCTGTCACTTTGGTAAGTACTTCAGAGAAGCTGAAAATGTTTTATGAAATTAATTCAGCTAGCAAAACAATATAAAATTTCTTACTTACTGAAGGCATTTAAAGGGTAACATAATTCCATGAGAATTCCAAGAATAATAGAAATGTGCTTTTTAAAAATATTATTTCCCCCCTTTTTCTAAAATCTGCACCTTTCTTTCTTCCATCTTTTTTTCTTGCTTTTTTCTTCTCCCATTCCCTCTAGTATTTGAAGACATCTAATTGTCAGAAGTTAAATGAATAGAAATTCTAAGGATTTCTAAATGCAAATAATAAGATTTTGACTTGTTGCCCTATAAAGAGAATACCAGTTTATGAAAGCTGGTGGAAAAATATATGGGATAGGATATAATAAGAACTGTTGGGAATTGAGCAAATTTGATAAATAAATTAGGTATAAGGAAAAAGAAAACAAGGATACATATGCATAATTCCTAATATGATTTGGATCTTGTTGCTATGTTGGAAATCATCTTTGCTAAGTATTATGAATAAGAAAAATATCTATAAGAAGCTGTATTCAGTTCTGTGTAACCAGTGGTTAATGACTAAAGCCTATTGTGGAAATAGAATATTTTGCTTGACAAAAAGTCAGAATAATAAATGACAAGAAAACAGGTGCATACAGTTATTCATGATACTGGGATATTATAGAGGGAAACGTGTCTGCCTTTTGGAATATCAGAATGGAATCATGAATAAAACTTAACACGGGGATACAGGACAAATGAAAGAAAGTATTTCCTCACTTAACCCATAGTCAAATTATACAATTTTGTAGCTACCAATATATACTGGTGGCTGCCATGTTGGGCACCTTTAAAGAGGCTTAGATTAGTTCATAATAGGTAAGCCCATTTGTAGCTATTAGTTATGAGAGCTATGGGTTAAGGTCAATATTAGAGAATTAATTCTAGTTTCATTCTTCCTTTCAATTGTCCAGACAACAAGATAGCTACTAAGAAATGTTGCTTGGTGCTGGAAATATAAATAGGATGGAAGACTGGGCTGGAATAAGATATATGACAATGGACATCTGATCTTCTCAGGGTGTTAACCTTATCTACTTAATCTGTAATAAGTAAAGAGGGGAATATAGAATACTAGACATCTTGACCAGCAAAAATGTTAGTGAATAACCAATGCAACACACACAGAAGGAAAACAACCACAACACACCTAACTGATCTTTTCCCTTACAATGGAAACTCTTCACAAAGTCAGTAGGAGACTCTTTTTCCATTAGTCTCTCTTATATTTCCTTCCTTCCCACTGACTTCATAAGGATTCCTACATAAGTCTTCTTTCCTCAGCCAGATCTTTAACTGAGACATTCACCCTTTCCCTCCTATTCGACAGGGAGCTTATCTTTTTCAGGACTGTGTGCAGTTAGGAACTTCCAACAATTTCTGACCTCTTCCCCCAATAATGTCTTTGTGTCCCGATTATGGATTTCCAGTAGATATTACTATAGTCAGTGATGGATTAGGTACTCCTTGGGGACATCTAGTAGATTTCTTGGCATGTTCTTATGTCAGTAAATATTAGACTGACCCCTGTTAATTTTGGATCATATTATATATCTGCTTTTAATGTTTAAGCTAATGCTTAAAAAAGTTAATGCAAAGACATGTAACTACAATTGTTGGAAAGCAAAGATGGGTAAACCTTTGAAGGTCTGAGCATTTCATTTGGGAGGGAGGCTGAGGGGTGTAATTGAGATTCAAAAATGTAAAATCTATTAATCTTTATAAAAGGACAAAGATTTGTCTCCATCTCTTTTGAGTAGGATGTTATTTTTGGCACAACTGCAAAAGCATTTTCCTTCTTCCCAAGTAATCACCGCAGTCTAAACATATACATACAATTACTTTGAATAAGTCAGAAGACAGCTTTAATTCTACCATGATCCTGGAATAATCCATAAATAAATGCAAAGTTTTGGAATATTAAGCTTAAAGTACTGAAGAAATCATCTTGTGACAGCTTGAAGACCCTGTGTGTGTGGAACAGCAAAATGACTGGATTTTTGTATAGACAGATACATCTTTCTGCAACTTTTCTGTCTATGCAAAAATGTTTGACCTATCACCTTATTATTTTATAATTTCAGATTCAGGGAAAGGATTTGATGAAATCTGTTTCTTTGCAATACACTCAGCTGCTGCCTTGTCTATGTATTGAGGTAAATGTTTCCATGTAGCTTGATGTATGAACTAGCTCAATATACAGGAATTCTTCAAATACCCATTCACAGCTGTCTACAGGATTGGGTCAATATACATAGAAATCAGCTGGCACTTTGATTATGCCATTGTGGCCACCATCTTGAGATTTTTGACCACACCCTGAAGACAGCTCTGAGATCATGACTTAGAGGAGAGGGCTAATCCTAAATGGAAACCTCCCACCCATGACACACAGATAACAAAAATCACAAAATGGTTTGCATGAGTATTACATCCAGTTTTCAATATTTAATCATTACAAAAAAAATAGTGAAATTCATTTTATTTAGATTTTTTCCAAAGAAGAACTGATATTTTATTTTTGGTTTAGTTTTTCCTATTATACATTTATGTTATTTGATTACTCCATAAAACACCTTAGGAGAAAGACCACATAGAAACTGTCATATGGGCAATACTTAATTGAAAAGCAATTTATGGTGATTTGAACTAATGGATGCATGTTTGGATTACAGGTGTGGCCAGCGATTTTAGATGCACGAAGAATGCAGTTGTGCCCATTCAAGAATGGCAAGTGAAATGTGCTTGTTGCTTTTTCTGAGTTGTAATTATTCTATTTTAGAAACATAAACTAATGGGCGGAAAAAATAATTTCACATGTAGCTGCCCCCCCAATAATAGGTCACTTGAGTCATTTGAGTGGGTAGCATACACAAATTATAAAGTAAACAAACCAATAGATAAATCTGACTTCTACATTTGTGTTCCTACATTTGCTTGTTTATAAAAATTTTGGAGCGAGCCCTATAACAATAAAAAACCTGAGTGTCTGCCTTATTTTTCTAATTATGAGAATAATTGCAAAAATCTCAGCATTTCTGCGGCTATTACAAAACAGGCACATAATATTCACTCATCATTCTGATCTAATTGTAGCAAGACCATGGATTCAGGTCAGTGGTGGGGTTCAAATATGTGAACAACCGGTTCTCTGTGTGGATGCCGCTTCTGGAAGTCCATCCTGGGCCTGGGCAACAAAAAATTAGCTACTGGTTCTGTTGAACTGGTGCAAACTGGCTTAATCCCGCCACTGATTCAGGTCAAATGACAGAATAGGCCATATTAGTATGATACCATAGGACATGTAGGGTCAATTATACATATATGAAATAGTAACAATACATTCTGAGGTTTATCCTTTTCTCCTGTGCCACTGAACAGAACCACAGGATTTATATTAACTTGAGAAACAGTGAAACTATTGGTTATTCCACTACTAAATAAGCACTGGAGATTTTAAGTGAAGCAGAAGGGGAAACAGGAAGGAATGACTGTCTGTCTGTTCTGATGATTTGTCCCTTTAGACTAGCAGTATTATATCTGGGCTGTGAAAATCCAGATTACTACTAGAGAGGAGCAAAGAGTAACAAAATGCTGCCTCTCTACTGCATGCTTGTGGTCATCAAGATTTATGCAGTGCTTATATGGTACCTTTTTGCTCACTGGATTAAAAATAAAAATACTGATCTTGTTTGCCTTTCAGAAAAGCAAAGCAGTGAGAACCAGCTTTTTAAAAAAACAACAACAAAGTGTTTGGGGGGATTGAATGCAGGCCTTAAGAGAGGCAAAATGAAGAAGTCTCCCATCATAGATGCTAAGTAATAAATAGCAGCAAGTGCTGAAATGCTCCACACAGGACGGGAGACTCTGTCTCTTCTCTAGGGGCAACTTCTGCATCTTCAGCTGGCACTTGCAGTATCTACAAGCTTCTTCCAACTCTGAGAAATGCTAGTTGAGACTGTGGAACAATGTGAAGTGCTTTGTTGACATGAATCAAAGTTATCATGTACATGATGCTAACTATTGTTAGAGTGTTGAGCATATGCTTAAGAAAACATTTAGGGCATAATGTAATTTATAGAATCTCACCAAAGCCAGTGAAGTGGTATCATCTGAACATCTTTATGATGTGGTTAAGGTCATTTCTCTATTTGCCAGAGCAACCCACTTGCACTGATGATCAAGATGCTGGTTGTTATAGTTAAAGCCCTACATGGGTCAGGTCCTGAACACTTTCAGGACCTTCTATTCTGAGTGGTTTGTGCCCATCCAATAAAATCTAGCAGGGACCTCTGAATTCCATCTTTGAGGGATTCCCATTATCAGGAACCACAAAAGTGTGACTTTTCTGTAGCTGATCTGCGCCTCTCTTTTGCAAGAGTGCTATATCTGAAGGCAGGTTAGCATTAATCCTGTTGGTATTCTGAAAGCTATAAAGATCCAGCTCTCCTGGGAAAAATCTGGGGACTGGACATAGGATGGCTCTCCTTCATGCATTAGCCAATACATCTAAGAAAAAGTTTGTAGATTGGCGAGCTGATATTTTTTACCGTATTTTCCGGTGTATAAGACGACTGGGCGTATAAGACGACCCCCAACTTTTCCAGTTAAAATATAGAGTTTGAGCGAGAGAGGGGGGGGGAGAGAAAACTTGATGAGTAATATGCCAAACCACATGTGTAAAGGAATAAAATAGAATACCCGTATTTTCCGGCATATAAGACAACTGGGCGTATAAGACGACCCCCGACTTTTGAGAAGATTTTCAGGGTTTAGAAAGTCGTCTTATACGCCGGAAAATACCGTAATTCTTTCAATTTTATTTCTGTACCATTTTTGAAGGAATATTTTTGGAACTGAATGGCACATAGATTCCTGAAAATAAATGAATGTCCAAATATGAATACACACTATTTATATCCCCTTTCTACTGTCACTTAGAGTTGCCATGAAAAATTAAAAGCTCATTTGATATATATTTAGCCAGAACAATAGCATTCCCAAATGATTCACAATTCATATTTTCATGTGGACTGATATTTTTTTTAGCTACAAGAACTGTCAGAAACTACTTTAGCATATGATAGAAACATTTTTATATCTTATGCTATGAACTGTATAAGTTTATAAAGAGGAGACAAAATGTAGAATTTGAAGTCAGCAACTTCAAGTGTGATATTTAAGGGTGAGGCATGATCATAAGATGGCTTCATGTCTATTTTTTGCAACAGATAATAAAGTTTGCTAAATCAGGCTAGGCTTACTCATATTCAAAGCTGTCATAGTGTAAGCATAATAAAACATGTAACAATAGTAGTAGAGACTAACTCTGAAAAAAAAACATTTATTCCTTGGATACATGAAATTTGCTTCCAAATGTGCAAGTGCAGGTCTGAGTTAATCATTATACAAAATAAGCATGTGCTTAATCTCCTATTAAGTCCTTATCTCTTTCACTGCCACACTTAACTTTAGTCAGGTTCACGTAATTGTCTTATCTGCTGTATTTGACTTTAATCTGCATTGCTAAAAATATTTTTTTGGCATAATGAGTGACTAAAGCTTAAAATTTTGTTTTGGAGGGATCATTAGATATCACATTTGTTCCCATTTCATAGAAGGAGAGCTTCCCTTCCATTGAGGGGCGCCATTGTTGAGTTGTGCTTGGGACATCAGTTGGCTTTAATCCAGTCTTATGTATATGGAAAGAAAAGTAAATAAAAACAGGAAGAGAGAGAGGGCATTCTATAACTCTGTAAAGATCATACCTTCTAGCAAAATGAATTAATTCTGCAAGATTATTTGATATGGGTTTCAAACTATTGGTGATTATTTAAAAGGGATATTTTTCTGGCAAATCTGCTGAAATGATAAATATGACCTGTCAGACTGCAATGCACCTCAAGGATTCTTATCTTTTCTGGCTCTGTCAATACTGTGCAGTTAAGTTGAGATTTCCCATTCAAAGGTGTGACTGCTAAGTGAATGAAAACTGCAGAATTGCCTTTGAACTCTATAATTCAGAATGAATTTCTTAGTCTTTACTCTAAAATTGAACCTTAATCGAGAGACTAGCTTGTTCCCATTAAGATTAAATAGCAAGTCCTACCTCCGTTATTGAACTGGTCTGACCAAGCAAAATTCCTGGGTTTGTGGAGGTTTCTATTTATTGTATGTTCAAGCAAACATGAGTTGAAATCTTGTTTGGATATTACTCTACTAGCACAGAAGAGAAGAAATTAAGCAGACGAGGAAACAGATGTCCAGGGGGGCAGGGATGGGGATGTGCCTTAATAGCCATCTCCCCTTTTAACCTTCATGGACCTGGGCTAAGTGTTTGTATAAAACTGATAATGCTGAGCATCAAATCAAATAATGCTGAGCAGCATTATTCTAATGTTATACTGTATAGCTGTACCCGGCCACACGTTGCTGTGGCTCAGTCTAGTAAAAGCGTGTGTTGCTTTTACATCCAACAGATGGTGCTGTTTTTCAAAAAAAGCATGTTTTTACCTGTCACAGGTGTGACATCTATATAAGATAGGTATATACAAACACGCGCCTATTCAAATGCAACGTTGCGTCAAAATTTCAAAGCAATTGGTGAAGAACTTTCAGAGATTTAAGATTTTGAACAAACATTGTAAATGTAAAAATAAATATATCTAATGTTTACGGAGGAAAAACTAAAAGATACCAACGAATAACTAAAAGACTCCAAGAGAGTGAACCGTAGGACCATGTCATGAAGTCGACGGTACTTAGAACTTGTAACATGTCTTTACGTAAGTATCGTACTTCGTACTCTAAATTTCTCCCCTTCCTTACAGTCAATGTACTATTCAAACTACCACACAGAAGAAAACTCTGATCTATGTTTTTGTAACACAAGTAATGAGTCCCAGGAATAACAAGTGTAGTTCTTTACAGTGCAAGAATTAACTAGGTTCATGCTTCACACAGCTCAGATCAGGGTTCTCACACATCTTTGCTGGAAAAATCTAAAAGGGTACTAGATAGCAGCAAAAATATAGAAAACTTTTGATTATTTGATGCCCTCCTGAGGGCATTAGGATTTTTAAAAACTCAGATATGGTAACCCAATGAAGCCACAACTCTCTCCATCCTATATTAGCCCACACGATAGGCACTTGGTATAGCAGCATTTTGGATCAACATTCAGATTCAGATCAACATTCTGAATGTTAGAGAAACTCATATTTATATGTCTTTGCTTTCTTCATTTCTTTGTCTTAGATACTGAGACCCTGTGGGATAATATTGTTTATCAACCTGCCACACAAACACTGACTTGGGAAGCTGTCTGTCCTGTTCATGTTACTGTCAGCCTTTGTCAACTGATGAAGATTAATGATCAGTGTGTTGATCTAGAGGGCACTGTCAACATCGTTACAGAGAAAGTAAGCAATAATAAAAGAAAATGTTCACTACATAAGAAGCAGGCTTATTGCCCACACTACTGGCTGTCATGAATGCTTCTCAGATGCATGAAATTTCATTCAGTTCAACCAAACCATTTTAGCCAGATTCACTAGACAATATTTTAGACTTATCAAGTTCCTATAATGAAGCCCTATAGGGTACTCAAAAGCCCATGCAAATAAAAACAGAGGACCACTTAAGCCTATCTTTTTGATATCTGATTCACTTATAAGGCCAAAAACGCATACTCCAGTCCAACTTTCTCCAAGCCAAAAGCTAACCAGGGTTGTAAATAGAGTATATGCCATTTGACACATCTCCCACTTCTCTAACATTTGAATCACATCGATGTCTTATTGTAAACATGGAAGATGCTGCTTTATATTATTTGACATGCATATGGAGCAACATCTGAATCAAGGCACACCTATAGCCAATGTTAATCCTCTTTCACAAAGCTAGCACTAATGAAAGCAGAGCCAAAAATTTTAAACTAGTGGTGATTTGCATGCAAACATAGATTTATAATGTAGAAGCTTACCTGCAAACATCGATAATAGAGAAGGTTTTCACAACTGCATATTACATTCTCTGCACAGTTAGCTAACCATGTGTATTATGAGCTTTGGAGTGGGTGAGTCAAGATAGAGGATATATGGATCTCTGGAATCCATTGATTTTCATTCAGTTGATTTTTAAAAATGAAAACTGCATGGTAATGGAAGAATTATCACACTTTATTAAGAGCATAAAGTAACCCAAATATTTTCCTCCTCCTTCACTTTTAAAAAATGTACCAGATGTTCACAAGATTTCCGAGCTCTCCACAAAGACTTTATATCAATGCTTCATAAAGACTAGTATGACTATATGAAAACATGTATTTCTTGAGCTTGAAGAGGAAGTTCATTTTGGCTTGCCTCATCATGTTGCAGAAATAAAAAGGCTATTTTTTGCAGCAATTCTGGGTTCTCAAACTCGAGCTTCCTCTTTATATATCACTTTCTGAAATGCCAGAAACAGGATAATATACAAGGGCTTTCAAGGAAGTGATGAGACAGAGAAGTCCATTCTATTCATGAATGCAGATCATTTTAAAAAGAGAATTATCCCCCACCCCACCCCCATTACGTGGATACTTAGCAAAGTAAATAAAACACTTCTCCCTGACATCCAGTAACTTTTAGAATGTTTTACAGGAAGATCAGTAATAGTGGAGTTTTATTTTTGACTAGTATTTATTTCATTTTGGGCTCCAGTGGGAACTCATTGTCAAATTTGTACCCAGTGGCATCCATTGGACAATAATTATGCAATCCTAGTAAGTGAAGGATCTACTTTTTCATACCCCATACCTTTGGTGCATAAATAATATAACAAATGTCTGTTATTTCAAATTTTAACCAATTATTATGAGAAAATTCCCAATGGGCAAAGGGACTATTTAATAGTGACATGGTCTATTTTGGGGGTGCTTACTCATTTGAGTTTTTATTTTATTTATTAAACAGATTTATAACTAGTGGGTTTAGGGTGTATTACTAAGATCCACCACATGTTGTTATTTTACACTGTTAAATTGGGGTGGGGGTCAGGGAAAAGGGAGTGTCGTCGTTGTTTGTGTTAGTTTGTTCAGTGAACTAGCCGAGGTATAATTAGGCCCCAGGGGTTCTGATGACTGTCCCTCTCTATCAAGAAGTTTATTTGACCGGGGTTCTCATGTAGAGCTTTATAAGTTTTAAAGTTTTGGTTTGAGCCAACAGAGGGCATCCCTATGTAGAACATATTACAATAGTTCAAATAGGAATTAACCATGGCGTGGGTGACTGTTACTTAAGCAGGTTATGAAATGGTCTTCTGTTAATAAGCATGTCATAGTTAAAAGAATTCTCTGTCAGCAAAGCATTGTAAGAAATGGAATCATGGTAGGTTCATTGTCAGGAAGGTATGGGGGTATGATGTAGATTTTTCAAACCAATTAATTACGAAAACCAAAATTCATTTAATAGTGAATTCAACAAGGTTAAGAACTTTTTCCAGAGGCAAGTCTAAAGGGCTAACCACCCCTTTTCTAGATGAAACTGATTCTAATCTACAGCATCCCTCTGCTCATTGTTAATACTCTTTTGAGACTCTCCCATCCCTTTCTTAGCACCAGAGATTTCTTTTACAATTCCTGCTCTTAGCAGAAATCAGATCAGATAGCCTCCATTAAAAACTAACATTCTTGTCCAAGTACAGAATAGTTTCAGTGCAGAGGGAGGAGTTGTGGAGACAAATACAGCCATGGACTAGGGTCAGCAGAGATTGGTTCCCCCCCTTCACTCCAATTGTGTTCATTATGCATGATATATCATTAAAATTTTATAGAATGTTCTTGTTCAGATGCTTGTCTTTTCAGGGTTGGCTGACAATTTAATAATCTTTTTTCAATCAGGTGAAATATTCCCGAGTTGATACACATCCAAGTCTTTGCATGAAGGTATATTATTTCCTAACAACTTATACATTTATCCAATTGCCATTTCTAAGTGAGAGGTTATGATCCTTATTCTGGTTTAAGGTCTCAATACAGATTTGATTTGATTTGATACAGTAATGAACTTTTTTAGTGTGCAAGTCTCTTGTTCTGATGGAGCTTGAAACTGATAGTTTAGTAGATATGGTGGAAAAATTTATCCCACCAGGAATTCTGAAGAGAGTCTCTTTTCTGAACCTGGCATTTGACTTGTGTGTCCATGTGGTGGTGGGTAATTTTCCACTGAAATCAGGTGATATGTCGTTTTGAAACAAATGTCAGTTTCAGAGGAAGAATTTGTCTTAGCCATATAGTAGGGTGGAAAATAATTTTACAGCTCCTTCCCATCCTTCACAAGCCCATATCAATAGCTAACACTGCTTGAACTGTAAAATGTGTAAACTGTGTAAAAGGCACCATGTATATGCTGGCATTAAATATAATCACCTTTCAGAGATAATTTGGAAGAAAGAAGCAAGACTAATAGTGTAAACACTTTTGTTGACCCAGAATGCTAATTGTACATAAAAAGTTACGGTAGAAAAGGTATCCAACAGTATGGTCTGGATCATCCATTGTTGCAAACAGTGGTAGGTTTAACACAGTTTATTGAACAAACCACAATTGGCTCATACACTGCATGAATCCGTAAACCATGGTTTTTAAAGCGCAATGGCTAATTTATATCAAATTCATACTAAAATTTTGAATAATTTTGGCATAGCATGACTGATAAATCCAGCTCATGTGGGTCAAAAAACTATAGATATGGTAAGGAATTAACATATAGTGGATCATAAATTGGAATATGATGCAAATTATAAATTACTGTTACATTATTCCCACTACCCTTCATTAAAATATCTAGGAAGAGTTTCATCGTTTAATTTTATGGATATTTGTTCAAAGGTTTATCTGATTGGTTGTAATGGGCTTACTCTTTAGGATGCAGCCATAAGTTGCTCTATTATTTCTTTGGTCTCATTAACCTTATAAGCAACATTGTCATTCAGTCTGATAGGACTATTTCTCCAGAGACAGAGATTCAATCCATTCAACATTTTGCTTCAGTTTATTGCAATGGAAAATTCAGGCTGGATAACTCAAATTAAATGTTAATTTCTTTTAAACCTTTTTAGTTTGCAACTGAGGACAACATCTGGGTTAAATGCCCATTCAATCATGGACAATTTCAAGGTAAAATATTAATTGTAATGTAATGTAATTGTAATTCATAATGGATTAAATGATTAACAATAACCAAAGCATATAGAAATAGTTTGGTCTATACATAGCATAACATGTAAATGATTTCATTATTACTATCATTTAAACTTTTTTAAAAATTTTAAGTAGTGTGAGAATATATCTTTTGATTTGTGATATTTTTGTGATAAAATGATAAAATTCCCAGGAGAAGAGGAAATGCATTTCAGAGGAGCAAGAGACAATATAGTTTAGACAGTTTCTGTGGGAAAAAGAGAGTGAAGACAACTCCTCTCTAATAGTTCCCATATTATATGTTTTATGGTACAAGTCTCTTTCTTGGTTTTTGGAACATGACAATTTTTCATCATATAGTGTGTATAGTGTTTATTCCTTTAGAATAAATCAAACATTTTCTAAGCTATAGGGACATTCATTGAAGTGCAACTTTTGACATGGAAGTCATCATCTATTAATTATACTAGCTGCTGGTTTTCATCATGTTCCAATAAAATTCCCATACAGAATTTCCATCACCAAAACTGCAGTGAAATATTAAATTTATTTCAGCCAATCTGGTAAAGTCCTAATTTTAATGAAAAGAAGTTTAGTATGTGTTTATGAATTCCTTGATCATCTCTGGTTTTTTTTAGATAGGATGTCCTTATAATTCATTGCCCACATAAGAAAGCAGAACAAGCAGTTAATTTAATTGATAGGTTTTCAATAGATTGTTCTTCATATAAGGAATACTTTAATATAAATTGCTTTTTATGATTAAAACTACAAACACAGATCCACTGAAAGATAGGAATCACTTAGTAGATACTTAAATCCCTATCTACTTATCTGCTAATTCTGTATATTAAATAGTTGAAGGAGATATCCAAAACCTGCAGGAGAGTGTCACTCCCAAAGATCATCTCATCTGCATGACATCAGAGTTATTTGTGAAAGGTTGATTCACATACATCTCTGTTCCATAAGCTCCCTCCAAAAGCCAGTTACAATTCAGTTTTTCATTCTAATGGAAATCATCTGTACACTGACTATTTCAGACTGAGGCTGATTGTCTATTAATCATTCAGATCAAGCTGGAATCTGCAATTTAGGCATGGAAATATAATAATAATAATAATAATAATAATAATAATAATAATAATAATAATAATAATAATAGTAAAGTTGGAAGGGACCTTGAAGGTCATCTAGTCCAACCCCCTGCTCAGGCAGGAAACCCTATACCATTTCGGACAAATGGCTGTCCAGTCTCTTCTTAAAAACTTCCAGTGTTGGAGCATTCACGGCTTCTGGAGGCAGGTTTAATTTAGATTAATATTTTCCAGTTACTCCTTATTCCTTTCACAATTTTAGTATATTCCAATATGAGTATAAATTACTAATTAAGAATTATGAGTTTAACTTAATCTGGGGTGACATTTTAAAGTGCATGAAAGCACCACACCTTTGCTGCAATCTTTGTAGGTATCCAGCCCAGGGCTAGTATTTGTTGGAAACTTTGTTAAAAATTGGAGGTTTTCCAGCTTTATTCTGATTGTTTGATTGTTTATTATGCTCCTGAAGGAATGAATTTTCATATATTTTTTCCAATAGCTTTCTTAGGATCACATGGCCAAGTTAGGCATTTTACACAATACAGAATAACAGAGTCGGAAGGGACCTTGGAGATCTTCTAGCCCAACCTTCTGCTCAAGTAGGAGACCCTATACCATTTCAAACAAGTGGATGTTCAGTCTATTCTTAAAACCCTCCAGTGATGGAGCGCCCACAATTCTGAATGCAAGCCATTCCACTGCTTAATGGTTCTCACTGTTAGGAAATTTCTCCTTAATTCCAGGTTGCTTCTCTCCTTGATTAGTTTCCATCTATTGTTTTCTTGTCTTGCCTTCTGGTGCTATGGAAAATAGCTTGACCCCCTCTTCTTTTTGTTGAAATATCGGAACACTGCTACCATCACTCCCTTAGTCCATCTTTTCTCTAGACTAGCCATACCCAGTTCCTGCAACCAACATTTTTGCCAACAGATTTGAATTAAATTGAATTGACGAACGTGGAAGGTTTTGATTGCAGATTTTAGAAGTAGAAATAAGACTCTTCGAATGGAGGATGCCTTTGGAGCTCGGTTCAAAACCTCTTCATGGAATATGATTCCATCATAATATTATAAAAATGTAAAATTATGAGTGTATGAAATATTTTTTAAAAAGAATGTTTACCATAGGGCTATGAGAATACATTTTATTATTATTTGTAAGCCTAAGAATGGAATAAACATCCAGTGTGGTGTAGAGGTTAGTGAGTTAGACTAGGTCAAGGAGACCCAGGTTCAGCTTGAAATTCAGCGGATGAACTGGTTTGATCACCCTTTCTAAACCCAGTCATAATAATAAGGTATGTCAACTGAAATATTACTAATCCAGTTAGGATTACATATCAGTTTGATGGGTTTCTTTCTGTTCTCAGCTTGGAAAATGCGACTTGCTGTGATAGAACAACAAATAGAAGTTTCTTTCATGTCACATTTTGAAGCAGAGTTTTCAGTACTTGTATGTAACAGGACCAATTTGCATTCATGCAACTCTACTGGGACCCTCAAAGCCTTTTCAGTGGTTAGTGCAACTTTTTATGTTTCAAAGATGCTTAAGCAAATCCAGTGTGAAGAAGATATGCCTGTGAAATTCATTTCAGATAAAAATGCTAAGAATCATGCAATTCATGAGAAACATTTATGTTAGAAAGAACTATATGTCTATATGTACACTTACCATGCTCACAATTATTCACACATATGAACATAAGTTCTTAATGCTGCAATATATTTAAATCATAGTGAACAACTACATACATACAGTTGGACTGTAGCTATGATGAAATGTAGTGAGGAGGTGGATTTCCAGGAGGGAGGTGATGTACTGCAGAAGTGTAAGAAGCAACACAGCCCCTCCCTAATAGTTCACAGAATATATTGTGGATGCAGATAGTAAAACTCTCAGTCTGACAAGATTGTATGTGTCTCTGTGTGAAACAATAAACACTCAGCTCAGAAGAAACATCACATTTCATTCTTGACAGTAGGCAAGGGATTTTCTCTAAAAGTAGACATATATTTGAAAAAATCTTGAAATGTTCTTTAGCGCTATGCTGGGAAATGATGATTTGAAGACAAAGTTTCCATATTGACTTTTACATACTGACTCCTTCCAAATTTTCTCATAGTAATTTCACAGCCAGCAATTGTTGCTGACCTAAAAACTTATTTCTTGTTCATAGAGATATTTTTCTTTCAATGTTCCCAGAGATTACACCTGAATTTTCAGTATGCAAAACAATATGCAATATTGTATAATGTTTAAAATGAAATATTTATTAAATATTTATTAAAGAAAGATTGGCCATCAAACTCTTAATTCCAGACTGATTTAAATAAATTGGAAATTCCCTCCTAGATTTTATTCCAGAAACCCAACAGAGACGGAGTATTATTTTTTGGGATGGGAGGGTGGGGTATCAACATGATCATAAGTCAATAGTCTCTTTTTGGCAATATGTCGATTATACTGTATTCTCTCTCTCTCTCTCTCTCTCTCTCTCTCTCTCTCTCTCTCTCTCTCTCTCTCTCTCTCTCTCTCTCTCTCTCTCTCTCCCTCCCTCCCTCCCTCCCTCCCTTCCTCCCTCCCTTCCTCCCTCTCCTTATTTCACATCTTGGAATGTGAAATGTGAAATGTGTCTACTGACTGACATCTATGTTCTCTATAATATCAACAAATGACAATTTCAGAAATTCCAAGATCATTTCTAGAGTTTGAGAAATAAGACATATTCCCATGTATCCCCAAATGTTAAATCAATTAACAAGCACCTTCAGATGACTCTAGCATAGCAAGCCACTTGATGAACATGTCAGGAGCAGTGAAATCTGCATTAGAGTAAAGCTAATATGTTTTGTGAAACCGCAGAATAAGTGGCAGGCAACAGCTCCAAAAGATTACACGGCTTTATTTTGTTGAAGTTGACTTGGTTTTGACTTGTATTTTCCAGGGTGGATTACGTTTACCATCTGTCAACATTTCAGGGAAACCTTGTGGCTCAAACGTCTGCATTAAGGTATGTTTTTTTTTATATTAAGCTCTCTTATGGATCTGCATGTAATTAATAACTAAAAGTGTGTGTGTGTGTGTGTGTGTGTGTGTGGGAAACATGTAAAAGATTAAAATAACATCTCACATTAAAATAATGTTAATAATGTATTAACAATCTGGGAAAGATTCAACATTTTAAATTATACAAAGCAACTATCTCTGACTGACAGAGATAATATTTTCAAAGCTTTCTCAAAGGGCGACCTGGATTCAATCCCTGTTTTATTTGGAAGTGAAATTCCCCAGATGTTGAGAAATCAGAGCCCAAGTGATGGCCAAACCCATCAGCTGCCATTAAAGGTGGGCAGTAGGAGCAGTGCCATAGCTGGGCAGGATGGGAAAAGCCTTCGTACCCTGAGGAGCATGAACAGAGGGCAATCACAACATAAGTAGCAGCAAACTCTTCAGCAAACCAGTTTCTTGCATTTTTAATGGCCAACTGAGGCAAAAGCATGTACATAGAGCAGTAATAATAAACACATCTCTATAAATCAAACAGCTAAACGCAAACATTAGGAGCAGTACTTTACTTTGCAGGCAGGAAATGGAACAAAGAGTTGGATAGTCCCCTTTCTTCTTTCTCCTTTTACGTTTGGGATATATAATCTGCTGGCCAAAGCATCCATGATGTCAGTGTGTGTTCTGCTGCCTCAGAGCATAGCTCTTCCTTCACAATCTAGTACCATTGTCCTTGGGTGTGTATAGATAGGTATCCTGAAAGTGGAGTTGTAAAGAGTCACTCAAATGCCTTTTAATTTGTTAAGCTGTGGTATTTCCACTTTTCTGGCATATTTCTGTTCAACTAGGAGCACCAACAAGCCTTTGAAGTGATCTTCTGATATGGTATTTTGCTTCAAAGTATTTTTCTTTTTGTAAGTTCAGGTTTATTGAATTATTTCTCTGCAGCTATCATTGTCACAAGTGAAAAAAAATCCCCAAATACAGAGAATTAGTGGAAGTTTTTTTTTTCTTGCTGGTATTATTTATTTTTCTTACCAACTTTTTAGACCCTCAGCCAGTAATCAATTCTCCCATGAAAGCTTTTATTACAGCTTTGTCTTCTTCCAGATACTCAGCCTTTTCATTTCTCACCCCTTCTAAAACCAGGTTAAAACATTTGAAATGGATCCATGTTGATTTGACTCCTTTTTAGACTTATTTGGATAGTAAGACAATATGAACTTGGGAATATTTGAATATGCACAGTTCTACAGCTCGCAAAGAATGAACAACTAATCAATGCTGGCCTTTTCTGGCGAAGAGCTGGCCTTAGAGAATTGTTAGCCTATCCATGATTGGTTCCTGACCAGAGACAGAGTCATTCATCTTGTCCTTTCAGATCTATGCTCATAACACTCACATATCACAAAACTAAAAGAAGATATAGGTAGTCCTTATTTAATGACTGCAGTTGGGACTGGTAATTCAATCATTAAGCAAAGCAGTTGTGAAATAAAACTGCAACTGTACTTTCAATCTTCCTTCAACTTTCCTTTGCTTTACAGATTTGCAAAGGTCATAAATTTGAGATTTGGTCATAAGGTTACTAGGTGAATGATTGCTAAAACAAGACAGATACTAAACAATAACTATTTGTAATTTTTAGGATTTTCCAAGATATACAAGGCACACAGAATTCTATTTAGTGTCACTCCAAAAGAATTTTTTAAAATATTCCCCCATGTTGTACTTCATCTATATGCTAAAAAACCCCCTGAAAATATATGTACTTGGATTTTACTGCATGTTGTCTCTCATGATTATTCAGGAAAATGTTTTCCTTTTCTTTTTTTTAAACAAGGGCTGGAGGACAGATGTGGACTATTCTGTTTCTTCATACGTCTGTGATTTACCCTGCAGTAAGTTTCAATAGAAAAAAAGGCTATTGCATATGAGATAAGGCAAAATATCTGAGGTTTCCTAACAGAAGTGATTTGGGAAGCTAGCACACTACCGTCATCATCCTTTGGTATAGAGAAGTGTTTTCAACTTTGGCAATTTTAAGATGTGTGGACATCTACTCTCAGAATTCCCTAGCCCGATGGCTGGCTGAAGAATTCTGGGAGTTAAAGTCCACACATCTTAAAGTGGCCAAGGTTGAGAAACATTGGTCTGGAGAGTTAGAGTTTTCAACCTGTTGTGGTGGGCAGCTGATATATTATGGCTTTTATTCAAGACTATTTGCTTCTGGAATATGAAGAGTTGTTCTGAGGACCTTGTGAAGATGTTGTAATGAAGTGAAAACCTTTAATAAATACATATAGAGCTATTGAGATTGCCATTGTGATGATAACTGCAAGAAGATAATATGCAGCTACCAAGATTACAGTCATGATGGCTCTATGAGGACCATGTAAGAGAAGATACTGCCTTAACAAATAAAACCTCCAGACATGTAGATAAAATCTGACTATGCATGTGATGGCAGGCTAACAATGAGAACCAGTATGATGTAGTGATTAAGACAGACTAAGAGACTCTGAGTTCTAATCCCACTTTAGGCATAAAGCCAAATGTGTGACTTTGAGCCAGTCACTCTCTCAGCCCTAAGAGAGAGACAATGGCAAGCCAGTTCTGAAATCTTGCCAGGAAAAGTACAGGGACTTATCAAGGCAGTGAGCAGTAGTCAATGTTGACTCAAAGGTACAAAAAAGAAAAAAAAAGACTAAGGCTTCTCAAGATTATTATCTATGAGATTCAGAGATGTACAGCCTCTGCCTTGAAAATAGCCTGTGGTGAACTACAGTACATAGTACAGTCAAACATGAGGACAGGAAAAGACCACAGGAAATACTTTATGGCATTTTATATTATGTCATAAAATACAATAATTACAATAATTTTATGTTATAAAATATTTTATAAAATCTGCCAAATTTCAGTTCCATGGGAGTCAAGGGTCCTGTATTTTAGATGCACTCTGTAAGTTAGTCCATTTGAGATACTTTGGTTCAAAAATTATTGCCCTATGATGCACCATTTTGCACAGTTAAAGGTTATAGACAAACAGAAGAATTGTAATAATATGTAGATGAAGCACAGTGCTTATTGATTTCCCATTGTTCAGCCAATTGTACTGAGGGCAAAAGATACAACAGTATTTTGAGAGCATGGAGGAATTTTGATAGCTCGGTTTGACCCAGGGATCATTATTCTCTGTCCATTCTTATTCTAATAGATTGGGAAACAAAAGAATTTTTTGCATATTGTCAAACAAAGAGGAATTGAAGCAAACAGAAACATGATAAAATATAGAATTCCTTGTATGTATCTCATTGCGTATTTCACCCTTTCCTCCCACTCCAAACAATTGAAAATTGGGGCACTTCACTATTTGAATTTCCAGCAAACTTTCCGCTGGGCGGCTTTCTATATTAGTAGGTTTGTGTGCTGATGACAGCAACACTCCTGGAGTATGTCAACATCCATTTTAACCTCCATTGGGTCTTCCACTTTTCTGTCTGTTTGGAACATGATGGTTAATGGTAAATGGCCACCAGTCCCTGTTAATTCATTTACATGGTGCTTTTGTTATGAAGCTTGTTGATCTGTTTTTTCGTCTCTATAATTTGGCTTTGACTAGAAGAACTATCAAAATCTAATGAAGGAAAATAATAAGGGCCTTCTTATTCTTAGATGAACATCTAAGATACTATTTTGTTTAATTCCAGACTCTTCTACTGGGACTCAAGAATATTATGAATATTCCTTAAGCATCCTCTCTCTCATAGCATTTCTTGCCATATTTCTAATCATGTTGGCTCTCCTTGGACACAAACTTTTGTCAGGTACTGATTTATGCAGCAAAAAAGTCAACAATTTGGTTGTAACAATAGAACTTTAGTTATAATCGATAGATTTTAATTATACAACACTGGCTTGGAAGTTTATTAGAAGTACTAATACGCAATCAGCTAATGGCTTGTTATTTTACTTTCTATTTTTATAATATACATTCAAGGAAAATTTGCACAGGGAAAATGTACAAGTGTTTTTTTTAAATGATAGCTTTTACAATTCCATCATGTAAATTTTCCTTTGAGTATTATACTGAATGTTCAGATCATTTTTTTACCCATTTGCAGAAGCTTATTACATTTGGAATTATTCCCTCTTCAAAGCACTCTTTGTTCCTATTGTTTTGCATGTATTATGGTTTCTGTGTGAAATCTATTTTTATACGAAATTTAATTGAGATCCAGTGGCAGTAATAGTAAAATATTGCCTATGAAGAAAGAGGAAATAGAAGGCAAAGATTGTGGGTACAAAATCTTCCAGCAATAAATTCATAATTAAATTACTTTAATTAATTTAATTAACTTTTAATGTTGAATTTTGACTTTTTTGCCTCTTATATAAATTTTATATAAAGTTTTTGTTTTAATATTTTACTTATAGACCTCCCAGAGTTCCTTCGTGAGGAAGATGAGCAATTTCTATATTTTTTATAAATAAATAACCAGAGACAATGTCTAAAGCATCCTTTATCATGCATCATTTTGAGTGTGAGCTCTGCAGTCAAACTTAATTTATAAATGAAACTGATGTCCAGCCAATGCTCTCTGGGTAAAACATGCAAAAGAAGCAAATCAGTACAGCCCCCCCCTCTTTTTTGCAAATCCTTTTAGAAAATGTGTTCTAGAGGTGAGGTAACTTTCCTATTAATAGAACACCCATCTGGGCAAGTAGAATCAATCCCAAAATATCCATTTCTTATAAATGGATATGGTTGCTTTCCATTACCACCTTTATCATCCTGGTATGCTACTTAGTCTCTTTATTTTCTTTTTCCAGGCAGGTACTGCATTTCCAAGCCAAATGTTTTCTATGAATGCTTTGGGGTATTATATGCGACCCAGAGACACGAATTGCTAAGGGCATTTTTAGATATGCAGTTAATTTTGTAGTTGGCACTGTGTTTTGAAAATGTGACAACTACCGACAAAAAATTTGATTTTTTAAAAAAAAATAAAATCAAGGTGAGGCAAATTGTCTGGGGTGTGCCAAGTATCCAGAATGCCTGTAAGAAATTCTATATGTACTTATTGACTTTTGGATTAGAAGCTGAGTCCACTACATGACTGCATAGGCCAACTACTTCTAAATTTCTTTCAAGAGAGGGATTGACCCTTTCTTGCTTCAGCAATAAAACTTAATATTTGTATGAAATCTCCAGCTTCATTTACATAATAGATTTGGATTTTATACCTGTCGCTTACAGACGGCCAATGTTCTGTAAGTCAATCTTCCCCAATTTGGTACTTTCCAACTAGCTTGAACTTCCCATAATCATGCCATACTAAAGTTGCCACATTCATTAGAAAATACAATGTTGGCTCCATAACATCAGTGATAAAGATTGATGGTATTTTACTTCCCTTTCACACCTGAATGCATCAGTAGATATGTTAATATGCATTGCTGCAATTTCATTGTCTGATTTCTCCTAAAAAACTGGATTTCTGTGTATGGCCTTCCTGTGTACATGCTTTCCATTTCTGAGTAAGAAATTTACAAACAATATCAATGTGTGAATTAGGGCAAAGTAAGTTTTGTGATACAACTCTCAAATTGTCTAAGACTGTTCATTCAAAAAGCAGACAAGCATTCCAATTATGGTATCCTGGTGGATTTCTATGTCTGATGGTAATTTGGGAAATTAAAAATCATAATACGAACTTATTGGCTGATTCACACATACATGTCGTATTTCCCATAAGTTACTACTTAGTGATTGATTGATCATGTAACTTGTACTGAATTGCAATGTTCATACTTTTGTTAAAAAGCATCGTTTTTGAAACAACTGTATGAGCAGTAGTCTATAATCTTGTTTATATAATTTGATCTTAATACTGATATTAAAGTAATTGTATAGTCAAGATGGAATAATAAAATCCTTTTAATTTTTTTATATAAAAATGTTTTTACAAATACTACAGTCCAAATAAAATGTATTTGGGAGCCCCAGTATAGTGTCTGGGAACTCAATGAGTGCATACAGATCTCCTTTGGTTACTATCAATCTCTCAGTCCACCTGATTTTTTATACTGATTTTTTAAATTAAAAATTGTGGAACTCCAATGCTGCAATGCACATGAGCAGTCTTTTGCTGCATTTTGAATTCTATGGAATTTGCTAGGTGAGCCTCAAATAGATCACATAAGGCTTCTTTGAAAATAAAAATGATGAAACCTGTAAATGAGGTGTATCCATCTACTCAGAAAAAGAAAATGGCAGGCAGTATTAGCAGAGAGCTTCCTGTGGAATGACCAGTTAGAGTGGAGTAGCAGGTAACCTCCATGCTTTGGAAATGGTATGCTTTCCAACAGTAATTTTAGAATTTTAACACTCATAACATTTCTCATTTAAAATGTTCAACATGTTTCAGATGGTCCACCAACTTCCCAATGGTTGGGAAATCCTAGTTCTAGCTTAATCCAGTGCCATCACCATGCGTGCTCAGAGAAGCTTTTCACAGCTGAATGGTTGGTGGACACGTGAACCAAGGACAATATGAACTCACTAGGGGTATTGAGATTAAGGGAAAAAATTATCTACTTACCACCACACAGCCATAAAACCCATTGGAATAGAGCCATATACATTGCCAAAAACTCACAGAGCAAAGACTCTCATAGTGACATAAAGAGCCACAGTGAGGAACAGTATGAACTGATTGCATTTTTTTCTCAGTTAATTCTAGGAAGACTTATGAAGAAAAAAGTGTAATACACATGATAATACACAGGTAAGCATGTGTTTTTGTATAGTTCTTTGACATTCTGAAGAATCTTTGCTCTAAAATGCAAGTAATTATTTTACAGTCAGTGTGTCATGAACTCTTAAAATTGAGGATGAATTTTAATTTTTTAATATCAGTAAAATAAAAGGCACTGAATTATAGCTAATATATGAATACAACTAAAATGTCAGAGGATATTCTATAACTATGTGACATTTTTTACAAATACATTTATAATGGTCTAATAATAATGATGGAAGAAATGTTCTTCTGTTAGAATTTCTGATTCCACTAAAATTACAAATTTCCCTATTTGAAATAATTTAAAGTTTCTATTTACTTTTAGGTAACACGGTTCTGGAGAAAGATATGAAGTATATACCTCACACTTCTGCCTTGGTAAAATATCATGTGAAGGATCTGTGTATTTGGGTTGAGGCTATTTAAGTTGGTTTAGGACATAATTGATAGTTTAAATAAATTCAAAGCTTGTCATTTATTATTTAAATTCAGAAGGCCTGGGCTAATTTTATTGATGTTTTGGAATGAAGTGTAAATCCTCTCACTCTCTGAAATTGATTGTTAAATCATCACTTATTACTTTAGATAATTGCTTGAACCTTTTACCTAGAAATGTCAACTAGAACTCAGTCTCCTGGTTTCTAGCCTCATGCCTTAAACCAGAGGTCCCCAACCTTGGGCCGCATCCTGTTACCGGGCTGTGGGCTGTTGGCCACTGGGCCGCATGAGTGGCTGGCCAGTGCACCCATGTGTGCATGTGCATGCCCCCCTTTTGCGTTAGCGGTGCCATTTATTTCAGAGTATTTCCATACCAGAGATTCATCATGTTTTATCATGTCATTCAGCCATCCCTGTAGTGCTGTTTCACTAAAAAAAAATATGGGTTTTATATGACCACCGTGATGGCTGATGCTGTAAGGTGCTATAAATTACTTTGTCTGGAAACATTTTCATCTGTATTTAATTGGTTTGAAATGGAAAACAGCTGGAGAGCTCTTAAAGCAGCATAAATATTTTATAGAGGGGTCCAATTTGGCCAGGTATAAGGAATTAAAATAGTCCTGGTTATATATGTTATATATATATAAACTACAATTATGTACATTATTACTCATCATTCTCAACTTCCCATTAAGAGAATTAATCTTTCCATGATTTCATTTGATGCATTCATTATCTTCTTTGCCAATTTAGAAACTTTTTATAGACCTAGAAATCCAGTAACCGTAGAGAGAATGCATTAAGGCCTTTCCTATTTTTTTTTTGGGGGGGGGATGTTTTGTTTTCATCTGTATTGAATGGGGAGATAGATCTGACATATTTTGATAGAGGGCATTTCCCATTTGACAAATTCATAGAAAATGAATATCCTTTTGTCAATACTCTCAGGATCAGTAGTTTCTACTCCTTTTGTGATAGAATATATTCAAACTGTTTTCTGCTTACATATTTTTGCCTACATATCTCAATGAAAAATGATACATTTCCTGCTTTACAAGCAAAGAATTATTACCTATTGTCTAATGATATAAATTACAGCTACTACTGCCTGCCAATAGTTGCAGAACAAGCTCTTTTTAGGAATATATGAGCTAGTAAAACAGATTGGCAGCCTTAGTGACTGATAGAAGTGGAAATGTATAATTGCACTTTTCAAATTGCAGATATTTCAAGAGTCTTGTGTCTCATTTTCTTATTTCTTCAGGATGAAATAGCACCATTTGTTTTATGTATGAAGAAAAGCAGACAACTTAGCAGAATGTCGTCACTTTCTCAGTTTTAACAAGTAATTGAAAGATTTCTCTACTGTAAAGAGTTACATGTGTAAATAATCCTCCTGTGCCAGAGGTCTTCCTTGACTTCAGTAACATAGGAATAATTTTTTGTGAGGAAAATTCCTTACCCTCTGCCCTATTGTCTCCCTTGCTGAAATAATTTGATAACAAAAAGTCTTTCTGTAAACAATGTGAGTTTCTCCTGAATCAATGATGGTGCCCTATATATTTGTGGAACGTGTTCCTACCAACATAAGAGGAGGAATTGGAACCTGGACATTTCATACATAATTGATAGTTTTATTCTCACCCTGATGATGATCAATTCCATGAAATAAATCATGACAACAGCACTGTCAGTATAGTTCATGGCATTTTTAAACACTACGGTATATAGGATGAATCTATGATAAAATATGCCCTGTAATGTAAAAAAAAAAAATCACTGATCTCTATGATTCTTTCATGTTTTATATACCTTCCTCTTTGAAGATCATTCCATTCAGAATATTACTTTCTATTAAGAGAAATAAATATGTTAGGAAAATATGTAAGTTCCAGAAATTGTTTGTTCTTAAACAAGTTCTTAAAAAGTACTGCCGTGGATAGAAACCTAGCACTTAGACACTGATTAGGTTTACTAGAGAATTGGATTTATGTAACTGGCAGTGACACAATATTTTCAATGATTAAAGTTTTGAGCATACTTTAGATAGAACTGAGTTCTATTAAATTCTGTGGGACATGTGTCTGATTTTACTTCTTATGTATGGGTTTCAAAAGAGTCTGTTATTGATTAGTGGGCTGTTCCTATGAACTGTCCATCATTTGTTTCCTACGATCTAAGCTAACTTTGTCAGACCATTTCAATGTTTAATGGCATTAGGGTAGCATCTTTTCAGAGTAACAAATATTCTAGAAAAGCATTAACATATGTGAGTACAGCTCACTTAATCAGATTACATCTGATGAAGTTTATGCCTCTTAATGTTTTGTTAGTATGAAAAGTGCTACCAAACTCCCAAATTTGGCTACCATAGATCAGTGTTTGTCAACCTTGGATGCATGGATTTCAACTCCCAAAATTCCCCAATCAGCATGGTGGCTGGGGAATTCTGAGGGGGTTGAAGTTCACATATTTTAAAGTTGCTGAGGTTGAGAAACACTACCATAGACTAACATGGGTCTTCTCTTACAAGGTTCACAGGAATGCTCCATTTACTATTACTCTTTTTCCTCCAGCAGTCCTTCTAAAAGCTTTTCACCCTGGTCTACAGCAAAATCTGAACTAGGGGAAAAAATGTGAGGAAAAGCAAGGGAACTAGTGGAGGAATATAATAAAAAAGCAGTAGTTTATTGAGTTCCTTAATAAGGTGGAGTCTGGTTATACAATACCATCTCCAGCTGTGCTACCCTTGCCTAAGCTAAGCTTATGTATGGGCTATGTGTAGTATTCATGTGTGATTTTTCTTTACATTCAAATTAAACTTTGGACTAGGATTTGACTTTTAGGATTTTAAATTATTGCAGTAATATGCAAAAAATGTTTATCTTTCTAAGAAAACTGTATTACTGGTATTGGCCACAAGGAGATATTTGGACCATGTTTAAATAACTTTGTAAAGTATTTAATATTTAACAGAAATCCAAAGGATGTGGGGAAACTTTATTTTATGTTCCCAAATGAGTAGCTATATTAGTGTTTTGCAGTAAAAGAGACAGTAAGAACATGTGTTCTTTCATGCCAATGTTTTATATACTCCTGTCAATATTTATACTTGCAAAGAAAAATAATAAAATACTCTGAACTCTACAAATGTCAAAAGTTTGTCATTTATTTCTCCTATTGTCATCTAAATTCTTGCCCTACATTCTTAATTTCTCATTAAAAAAAGGATTAAAGGTAACAGACATGAAAATTATGCTGTTTAAACCAAGGCTTTTCAACCAGTGGTATGGGTACCACCTGTGGTACATTGGCACCTGGCAGGTGGTACGCGACCATCCTAGAAAAATGGTAGCTGGGGAGGGGAATGAGCTGAACCGGTGGCAGCACCGCACAAGCCTGAGCGAGAGATGGCTGGAGCTGCAGGGCTGTCAGGGCTCAGCGGAAGCACCAGGATCAGTGCTTCTTCGGGGCTGTCAGGGCTAAGTGGAAGCGCCAGGATCAGCGCCAGGCTCCAGCTAGAGCTCGGCGCTGATCCTGCCGCTTCTGTTGAGCCCAGAAGAAGCGCCGATCAGCTGGAATTTTGCAGCATCTCCAGGGTCTTGTGATTTACATTCAGACGCTTGGCAATTGATTCATATTTATGACGGTCACAGTGTCCCAGGGTCATGTGAAGTGACCAAAACCTGCTGCAACCACCCAGCAGACGGGGGGGGGGGAATAAAAACCAAACATCCCCCACCCCGCCCCTGCTGCCAATCTCAACAGAAATGCTCACAACAATGAAAACCTCAGACAGGAGGAAGAGCACTGCTGGGTAGGCAAGCAGGTGTCTTGCTCAGCTCTTTTTTCAGTGCCATTGTAACTTCGAACAGTCACTAAGCGAACTGTTGTACGTCGAGGACTACCAGTACTTCATCACTTTTGGGGGGGGGTCATCAAGTTTTTGACACCTTGCTAGACGACTGGTGGTACTTGGATATTGCCATATCCTAAAAGTGGTACAATGGGTGAAAAGGTTAAAAAGCCCTGGTTTTACATGTGGGTTTACTTGATTTACACAGGCAATGGCTTCTACCATCCCCACATCTTCCCAAATGGGAGAAATAGTGAAGACTGTAAAAAGCCTGGCAGTAGAGAAGCTTTTTTCATCTATCAATCATTTTGTCTTAGGTTTTCAAAAGGCACATTTCATAGAAATGTGAAAACCCAACCCATATTGAAACTAGGGTAAGTCCCTTCTGAGACATTTGCCACACCCACATTCTTTCTGTGAATTCAGCTGCTGCTTTTCTGACCATTTTCTAGTCTGTGACTCTTTCACCTTCCTCCAAAGTCATTTCCACAAAGACTACTTGTGCTGGTTTACTGTTATGTTGCATGAGTTCCATAAATAGATTCAATCTGGGGTAGCCTTTCCAAAGCTTGCAGATCATGCTGTGATTGCTGTGAAAGAGCAGTGCTCTAAAAGAAAAGTTGCAACCCATAATACCTCCCAGTGAAAGCTAAGGTTGATCGCTAAACTCATATACTTGAAAAAACAATATCAAAATAAATGAATTATGATAAATGTGCATCAATATAGATCGAGAGTCTTAAGGATTTGCTTACTTCCTCATAATAGTTTCAGACTTGGTTGCTCCTTTGCCACATTTCAGAAAAATTTTAGGGACATATGAACTGTATATTGAACATTTTCTTAGTACATATAGTGCTTCACGTTTCACTCTAGTTAGGTTACTAAATGACCTAATTTGTATGGCTTTTATTCAAAAATTGTATGAATAAGCCTAAGATTTTGCTGAGGAGAAATAACCACTTCCTGGAACTGAAGTGGGAAATGACATAATTATTCATTAGCATAAAGCTTCATAACATGAGACTTTATTCTGTCATATATTACATCTGATAGAAGTAAGTCTTCATCCTGGTTCATCCAAGCCGGGAATAAATAAGCAAACATGGCGACTGCTTTGGGAAGAAGGTTACAGTTTATTGAAGCAGAAAGATGGTCCTTGCAAAAAGGAGCAGAGGAGAAGAAAAAGAGAGTGAGCACATGGGTAGTAGGTTTTTATACCCTCTCTAGCCCTGTTTGGAATAGTTTCCTGTTCCTGTTTCCTGTTCCTGTGGCATGAACCTTGAGTGTTTCTCTAGGCCTTGATATCTGTGGTTTAATCCTATTATCATATCTTGCTTTCCAGGTGATGGGGCTAATGACTCCTAGAGTTTGGGTGGGGCATGCAGATTTTCTCTTTGTCTTCTTGATTGCTCTGGCTTCAACTTTCTGATGGTTTTACATCTGCATTTGTATGGGGCTAGGTCTTGCTTGGGGCAGAGAGATAGATTTGGAGCCAAAGTTGGTTTCTGCTTTTTTTAAAATACTTTTGAGGAAATATATATTTCTGCCCTTTTAATATTTCCTTCTCTGGGGCTCTGACTTCCCACACATCAAACATGGAAAGGATGTATGTTAAAAAGCTGAAAAACAAGATTTGGGTTTTTTTTGACAATTTATAACAAAACTAAATGACTATAATCGCTTTTCAGTTTTCTGATGGAATCGAAGAAAGTGCATTAGTCCGTCTTCATTTGAAATGCTCTGGCCCCCTTTCTTTTAGCAGTGTTCAACATTAAAGAAACAGGCTTCTCTTTTCCTAGAGGAAGTGACTGCTATGTTCATGCACCCCTGAAATCTTGTGACATGGAAAACTAATTTCATAATCATTTAAACACATGATCTCTCTCTCAATATACATGAAATACTGTTTCACAATTTGGATCTTTGCAAAAGTCTGTTGCTAAGAAATGTGATTTCATGTCTGTGCTATGATACCGTTTCATACAGCTAGGAAGCAGACGTGAATTTTCCAGCATGGGTTTTGGAAACATATCCACTGTTGAAAGCGTAACAATAATAACTTCCTCCAGATTTCTTCCCAGAACTCAACTGTTACATCTCACTAGGAAAATCCAAGATAGCAAAAAAATGGATCACATGAAACAGAATCAATGCAATTTAACTGAAACACTTTTGTTCTGATCTACCAAAGACCAGAATCATACATGCAGTATAAAGGCTCACCTACTCTGTCAAGGTTCAGCTGTAGAAATGAAACCCTCTATTTAGTTGAACAATGTAGTCATGTTGAAATCCTCTAGGTTTTTACTTTTAAGATTTGGTCGTGGCTTGTGGAATTGAGAGGCAGAGGAAGAAATAAGAGCTGTTTTTGGAAGCGTCATTGTCAGACATATTTATAGTATAGTCCCGTGGTGGCGAATCCATGGCATGTGTTCCAGAGGTGGCACACAGAGCCCTCTCTGTGGACATGTGCGCCGTTGCCCCAGTCTTAGGCCTTCAGCTGGGTTGTATAAAACCTTTTCGCTTTAGGCCTCCAGTGCCGTGTTAAAAAAAAAAAAAAGATTCAATCAATTTCAACTTCTCGCGGGAAAAAAAAAGATCTTGCAAAGTTGGAATTGATTGAACATTTTAGTCCCACCCAGTCTGCCATTATCCCAGCCATGCCCACCCAATGGGCCACGCCCACCCAATGGACCACACCTACCCAATTGGACACACCCACACAATGGGCCATGCCCACCCGGCACCCAATGATACATAAATGGGTTTTGGGTTGCAGTTTGGGCACTCAGTCTCTAAAAGTTTCCCCATCACTGGATAGTCTGAGGCTGATTCCTTATAATATTAATACTATTGCTGTTCATTTGCTAAGATGTTATCCCCTTTTGAGTTGATGTCTCCAACCAAAGAATGAAACGATCCAGAAGGAGAAGAAACATCTTCACATTTTATTACATTCTTTCTGGAGATGGTATAAAATAAAAAGCACAGGAATTAATAATGACAATTAAAAGAAAGGGATGGGGAAACTTGAGAAAACTCTCTAAATTGGAGGTGTTTCCATTAATCTATGTGTCAACACTTAATTTAGAATTTGCAGGACAGATACCAAAGAAGGAGAAACACCAAGAGAGATATCAGGAGTTCAATAAAGCTTAAAAAAGATTTACTAAGCACTTTCAGTGTCAAGAGGACAATCAGCCAGATGAGCCCTAATGGTGGGGAAGATTCATGTTCTGGAACTCAACACACAAGGAAGCTAACAGTAACATTGGAAAGTACCTTGGATGTCATCTATACCAACTTCCTGTTCTCGCAGGAGACCTATACTATTTCTGATAAATGGCTATCCAGTATCTTCTTAAAAGCCTACTGTGATGGGGCACCCACTACTTCTGGAGATGAGTCGTTCCATGTGTTAACTGTTCTCACTGCTAGGAATTTTCTCCTTGGTTCTAGTTTTCATCTTTCTTTGCTTAGTTTCTATCCATTGTTTCTTGTCCTGCCTACAGGTGCTTTGGTAAATAAGTTGGCCCCCTCTTCCTTGTGGCAGCCTTTCAAGTGTTGGAAGATTGCTGTAATGTCACCCCTGGTCCTTCTTTTCACTAGACTAGATAGACCCAGTTTCTGCAATTGTTCTTCATTTTAGCTTCTTGGCCCTTAATTGTTTTTGTTGCTCTTCTCTGTTCTTCTCTGAACTCATTCCAAAATCTCAACATCTTTTTTGTAGTATGATGACCAAAACTGGATGCAGTATTCTAAATGTGGTCTTACCAAGGCTTTGTAGAATGGTACTAGTATTTCACATGATCTTGATTCTATACCTCTGTTAATGCAACCTAGGATTGCATTGGCTTTTTTTGCTGCTGCCGCACACTGTTGGCTCATGTTTAGAAGGTTGTCTTCTAGGACTCCTAGGTTTTCTACTAGGATGCTTAGATTGTCTACTAGGATATTTGGGATGAATGTCTACTAGGAATAACTAGGAAAAGGGCATATCTTATAGCCTTATTCTCCACTCCCTTAATTGGTTCGGGGACACTTAGCAAGGGGGAAATCACTGTTTGTGTTTATGTTCACTGGAGAGGAAGAGAATAAACAAGCGCATAGTGGGAAATACACGTTGAAAGGAATGGCAGTGTTCCTCCCTACTTAGAATACAAAAAGAAGACTTGGGTTTTAAATTGACTAAGACCATGGCAATTTCAGTTAGTAGCACATGGCAGCACAAGGCAGCAAAGGTGCTAATCAAGGTT